ATATCTTTTGATTAATTTTAGTTTGAAGTCTATTTTGTTAGATATTAGGATAGCTACATCATCTTGCTTCTTAAGTCCATTTGATTGGGAAGACTTTCCCCAAGCCCTTTAATCTGAAGTAGTGTCTGTCTTTGAGGTTGAGGTGTGTTTCTTGGATGAAGCAGAAGAATGGATCCTGTTTTTAATATCCATTCTGTTAGTCTGTGTCTTTTTATAGACAAAATGAGACCATTGATATTAAGGTATATTCATGACAAGTGATTGTTAATTCCTATTATTGTTTGGTGGTAGTGTTGTAGGTTTCCCTTCTTTGGGATTTGCTTTGTGTGGGATTATCTATTGCCTGTGTTTTTGTGGGTGCATCTAACTTCCTTAGGTTGGATTTTTCCTTCTGGTGCTTTCTGTAGGGCTGGATTTGTAGATAGGCATTGTTTAAATCTGGTTCTATCGTGGAATATTTTGTTTACTCCATCTACGGTGATTGAGAGTTTTGTGGGGTATAATAGTTTGGGATGATATCCATGGTCTCTTAGTGTCTGCATAATGTCTGTCCAGGAACTTCTGGCTTTCAGATTCTCCACTGAGAAGTTGGATTGTTATTCTGATGTGTCTGCCTTTATATATTACTTGGCCCTTTTCCTTTGCAGCTCTTAACATTTTTATCTTTATTCTGTATGTTTAGTGGTTTGATTATTATGTGGCAAGTGGACCTTTTTTTGGGTCTAGTCTATTTGGTATTCTGTAAGCTTCTTGTATCTTCATAGGCATTTCCTTCTTTAGATTGGGAAAATTTTCTTCTATGATTTTGTTGAATATATTTTTTGTGCCTCTAAGCTGATATTCTCCTTCTTCTATCCCTGTTATTCTTAGGTTTGGTCTTTTCATGGTGTCCCAGATTTCTTGGATGTTTTGTATTATGACTCTGTTGGCTTTAATGTTTCCTTTGACTGACAAATCTATTTCCTCTGTTGTATCCTCTATGTCAGAGATTCTCTCTTCCATCTCTTGTATTCTATTGGTTATGCTTGCCTCTGTTGTTCCTGTTCATTTACTCATATTTTCCCCTTTCCAGCATTTCCTCAGTTTGTATCTTCTTTATTACCTCTATTTCAGTTTTCAAGTCTTGAACTGTTTACTTCACTTGTTTGCTTTTTCCTGTTTTTTTTGGGGGGGAGGCTCTCTTCAAGGGATTTATTGATTTCTTCCAATTTATTGTTTATCTTTTCCTCAATGTCTTTAAGGGAATTTTTTTATTTCTTCTTTAAAGGGCTCTATCATCTTCTTAATGTCATTTTTAAAGGTCTTTTTTCTACTTCTTCTGCATTGGGAAGTTCAGGACTTGCTGATATAGAATGACTAGGTTCTGGTGGTGCCATATTGGTCTTTATGTTGTTGAATGTATTCTTGCATTGGCATCTACCCTGGTGTGATTGACTAGGAGAGCAAAAACTCTCCTCTTGGTCCAATTGGAGCAAGTGGAGTCTGTGTCACAGACAGCAGCTGCGGTCTGGAGAATGGGTGGCTTTGGGTGGTGGAGTGGGGCTTGTAAGTTACATGATCGGATGGGGAGTGGTGGTGGTCAGGCCTGCAACTGGGACTTCCAAGTGTAGATTTTTAAAGTGTGTCCTTGTGCTTATCTGGATTTCCTCGGTATCTGTTGTTATTTCCCCTTTTTCTTATAATTTTTTATAATTGGCCTATTTTCTGTCTGCAATTTCAGCTTTAACAAAGAAGGCTTACAGTTTGGATGCTCTGAAGGCAATCCATCAGATTCTTCTCCAGACCTGCATGTACCATATCTTCCCATTTTACTCTAGTTGTCTTCTCTTTGTCCACTGTATCTGTCCCACATCAGTGCACTTCTTTCACCATACTAAATGTTCTAGTTTGCTATGGTGTCATAAGTCCACTCTAGTCTCTCCAAGTTCACGTGAAAGCTCTCCCCAGATATTATCTGCTGCTAGATTAAAGCAGAATGCAGCTGTAGTTTTCACTAAACATCTTCCCATGAGACAATCAGAAATCACGTTCACGTGTATATTTCCTCTTCTCTTTCTGCCCTTCTTTTACATTCACTACTCTACATGTGACAAAAGATGAGATCAATGGCAGCATAGAGCTTCAGATACCTTGACCCTTAGAGAATATTCTGTGGAACTATGAATATGGAAGTTGAGTTTTGACAGAATCTCCAAGATATTGGAGATGCTAGAGACATGTGACCTTAGCCAAGGGAAGCTGCATACAAGGAGTGCAACCAGTTCAAGATAGTTGTGTTGCCATCAGCAAAGCTGGCAGGGTAGAGACATGTAACCTCGACACTAAAGCTCCAGGTGCTGATCATGGAACTTCAGGATTTGGTGTCTTCCCTGATGGGTTTTGGTCTTACCTTGGTCAGGTCTTGTCTGCTCCTATTCTCACGTTTTGGAATGAGAATGTATACTTTGTTGTACTGTATGTTGGGAAAATTTGGCTTTGTTTGTTTATTTTTCAATGATGTCATAGCTAACAGATTGGCATGAGAAGAGACTTTGGACTTTAGAACAGTGGTGAGACTGTTAAAGACTGTAAGACCTTTTGAAGGTGGACCAAATATATTTCACATATCATGACAGTCTATGAAGGACAGGGATAGATTATAGTGGTTTCAATGACAAATTTACTCCACAACCTCTTGTGTTTTGAACCCTTGTTCCCCAGCTGGGAGTGCTAAATGGGAAAGTTTTAGAACCATTTATTTGGTGGCAGAGCCTTCCTAAAGCAATATGCCACTGGGAGTGGCCTTTGAGGTTTTATTGTAGTCAGAAAGTTTCTCCAGTCCTGCCAGGACTCTGCACTCCCATGGATTGCTTATAAAATATTTACTCAGAAGCTTATATTAATTATAACTGCTTGGTCATTAGCTCAGGCTTATTACTGACTAACTCTTACACTTAAATTAATCCATGATTCTTATTTATGCTTAGCCACATGGCTTGGTACCTTTTCTCAGTTCTGCCTTGTCATTTTGCTTCCTCTGTGTCTGGCTGGCACTCCCGACTCTGCCTTCCTCTTTCTAGAATTCTCTTTGTCTGCTTGTCCCTCCTATACTTCCTGTCTGGCTACTGGCCAATCAGCAGTTTATTTATCAACCAATCAGAGCAACACACATTCACAGCATACAGAACGACATCCCACAGCATTTTATAGCCTGTCCCCACTTCCTCTTCTCTCTCTTTGCTTCCTGTGTGTAGTTGAGACTGTGATCAGCCAGCCTCTTGCTCCTGCCAACATGACTTCCTTTCCTTTTCTGTGCTTTCCTGGCCATGATACACTAAGTCCTTTTAGCACTAGCAACCAAAATAAGCCCTTTCTTTTCCATGTTGCTTTTGGTCACAAATCTAACTAATATACACAGAAAAGATCACCAAACTTAAAGAAATCCTTAGCTCTAGTGAAAGATAAGGAGAGGGGAGGCTCAATCACTAAAACCAGGCATGAAATTTAGGGACTATTACTAAGCTTGCAGAAATAAAGCTAGCCATTGAAGAAGATTATGGGCAGAAATAGACCAACAAATTATGTAACATAGATTTATGTATAGAATCCTGCAAACAATGAGAACTCATTCAAAAACATAAATTATAGTAGCCAACTGATAATAGATTAAGCAAAACGTGAAAGAACCACATCATAGGGTATTTGTCTGCCTTAAAAAATAACAAAAAGATGCTTCATGGATGAACCTTGATGATATTATACCAATAAAGGAAGCCATGATGATTCCCTCAGACTGTACAACAGTATTCATATGAAATGTTGAGACGAGTCAATTTTGTAGAGATAGAGACTTTTGGTTCTAGATTGTGAGGAGAAGAAGCATGAGCTCTTACCAGGTATGGAATATGAGAAGCATAATGACCCTTATTTTTAAAACATTTGTTTTTGAGTGCTGTGGTTCAGGTAATAGTATTTTGGTAAAAGTGAATTTATACCTTATCTTGAAATGCAATTATGAGAGAGAAAAGAACATTCAACACAAAAACCTGAAAATAATTGCTATACATATAATGGCAGGTGATGTGAATTTTACATAAAACACGTTTCAAGAGTCAATAAAATAAACCTGAGTATTTGTAATGATCTATTCTAGTCAGGCAAGTATTTTACAGATTATTCATAAATGAGAAACAGATATATTAACATGAATCATGAAGACATTGAAAGACCATGTAAGAGATTTTTATTAGATAATGTGGAGCAAGATTTATTGGTATAGACTGTTTAAATAATTCATAAGATGAATTGCCTTGCATATTTCACTAAGTTTTTATTTTGTAAAAACATTTGTTTATTAAAGGAGATTTTAGAAAATGAGCTCATAGCATACATATTTTGATAGGAGGATTTTAAAGAAATTGAAGTCCATTTTTACACTTCAGTAGCTAGAGTTTTCCTGCCTGACCCACAGTCAGGACAAATCTTTGTCACCTGCCAGTCCCACAGCCGCTCAGACCCAACCAAGTAAACACAGAGACTTATATTGCTTACAAACTGTATGGCCGTGGCAGGCTTCTTGCTAACTGTCCTTATAGCTTAAATTAATCCATTTCTATAAATCTATACCTTGCCATGTGGCTCATGGCTTACCAGCATCTTCATATGCTGCTAGTCATGGTGGCGGCTGGCAGTGTCTCTCTGACTCAGCCTTCCACTTCCCAGAATTCTTCTCCTCCTTGTCCCACCTATACTTCCTCCTGCCTGACTACTGACCAATCAGTGTTTTATTTACTAACCAATCAGAGCAAAACATTTGCCATACAGAACATCTCACAGCACATGTGAACCCAAAGCTTTTCCCCTTTGAGATGGAGTTTCCCCATATATATATTATAAAATATTATGTGCAGAAGTATACCAAAAAATTATGTAGCATCTTTTAGTGTCTTCAAACTCTCCATTATCTTGCCCCCATTTATTAAATGCTGTGATTCTAGGTGGGTGCCACCACATTAACCTCAAAGACAGAGTTTTAAGTAGCATATTATATGTTGTTCATTTTTAAACAAATATGATGAATAAATTTTAGTTATTCTTTGAGAATTTCATTCATGCATACAAATTATTTGGTCACAGTCACATCATTCATTCTTCCCTCCAGTCCTTTCTAGATCCTCTCCATGCTACCTACTTCATGGCATTAAAAAAGACCAAACCACTGAATCAAATTAGTGCTGTTCAAACAAACATGGTTATGGGGACATCTATCAGAGCATGGCCAATCTACCAAGGACCAAACCTCTGAAGAAAACTGATTCTGTTTCCCTTAAAGCCATTAACTGTCAGTAGCCCCTCAGCTAAGGGTAGGAAATGATGTCCCTCCACCTCATCCATGCTGGAGTGCTGACTAGCTTGATCTTGTGCAGATCTTGTGTAGGGAACCACAGCTGCTATCAGTCCATGAGTGCAAAGACCCTGTCATATCCAGGAAACAGTTCTTCCCCAGGCCTACACCATTTCTAATGCCTTCAATGTTTCTTCCCTCTTTCCTGTGGTACAACTGAGCTCTGCATGGGAGATATGTGGCCTAGATATTCCATATCTGACTAAGCACTCCACAGACACTTTTCCCTTTTCCACCCATGATGCTGACAATATATGCAATTAATAAAGGGAAAATGGTTGTGGCTAATAATTGTTTAATAAATCCTCTTAGGATTTATTTTTAAACTAAACTAACAGGTTGATGACTTACTGATTTATGTGTATATCATGCACATAGAGAAGAAATCTGATTAAATTGGGACTAAAGTGTAATCATAAGGAGCCTGGGCTTAGATGGGACAGGGAGTGAGGGCTTACAAATAAATTTCCCTCTTAATGATACAAAGGCAACATGGTGGAGTAGTACCTTCCTAAAACAGATGAGAGTCAACACCATTTTCACCCATGATTCTACATGTTCAGAAAGAACAACTTTCAAAGAAGAGGAAACATTTGGTGGATTTATTTTCTGGCTGCAATATAACAGAAACATCAGGTAGAGATTTTCTTCACTGGGTGAAAGTTGGCACTATGATCTTTTAGTTGTCATTTTCTCATTCATGGGAACAAAGTCATCCAGATGTCTTCCTTCTCAGCTGTGGGGCCTGCATAGTGAGAGGGGGCCACTGAGTGTACTTCTTGAAATCCTTATCTTGCCACAGTCCTCTCTCTGTCTTGTTTCTTCCTGAACACCATGAGGTGAGCAGTTTTGGTATGCCATGGCCTTTGCTGTTTAGCTTTACCATAGGCCCATGTAATGGAGCAAGACAATGAAAGACTGAAACAAGGATCCACATCAACATTTCCCTTTGAATTGTTCTCTGGAAGTGTAAGTCACAATGATGAGAACTAAGCAAGTTCCTAAAGCACATGTTGTACAAAGGATACTCAGCTTCTTCATCCTCTACGGTTCTTTTATCTATTCATCTGTCTTGTCCATCCACACTGAGGCGATAAATGCATTGATGAAAACCATGTGTCAGTTATATTCATGGTGATGAGGGCTAGGGCATATTAGGAATAAGAATTAAGTGATATAATTAGATATACTTTCACAGTACCAAGGTTCTGTGCATTTCTTGCACAATTGTGAGGCTTAGAAAAATCTCCAGTCCAGAAAAAAATTAAACCCAAGGGAAGAAAAGAAAGACAGGGAGGAAAGGAAATGACAGATGGGTCCACCTGAAACTAGCTCACACTAAGTCATCACTATTGGTAAATCAATGCTGTTGCAGAAGTCGTCATAATCGCAGCAGTATGTATGTATTGTTTCACCTCCCGAATATTTTTCATCAAACTCACAGAATTCCGTACACCCCAACTCCGCACTTTTCAGTTTACCATCTGTGGAAGAAGATTGCAAAAAGATATAATTTTGAGAGCCAGGATCCAACCTCATATCCAAGTACATTTGGACTGAGAATGCTTTCACTGAAAGAATTTTCTTCCATAGCAGTTAGTGTCCCATGTTGGCCTTCCCGCCACATTCTTTTAAACTACATCTGGAGAAAGTCCCTTTACCCAAGAGCCTTTACGACAGGAGAAACATGTGCTTAGTGTTGAGCTTGAGACTCTACACGTTGGGGCACATAGCATCATCTCCCCTCAAGCAGATGTGCGTAACGCACTTCCTCAATACATGCTGGCATCCAGACTCCAAGGTGAGCAGTTGGGCAGGTAGAGATCAAGATAATATTAGCCCTCAAGAACCAGATTCTATGGAATGACAGGAAGGACACACCATGAACTATGCCAGGAGATAGATGAAGCAGGAAGACTTGCGAAGCACCTTGGTGTCCTGTGGATGAGCAAAGGTTTTCCAGAGAAGGTGGCTCCAGGCTGAGAGAAGTTCTTTGAACATTACAGAAGCAAAAGCAACCAGGACAGAGTGTGGGAAAGGACACTTGTAAGGACTGATATTTCGTAGCCTGTGGACAGTGTGGTGGCTTCAATTACAACAGCCCTCATAGGCTTGAGTGTTTCAGTGCTTGGCCCCCACTTGGATGAAGTGTTTGGGAAGAATTAGGAGGTGTGGCCTTGTTGGAGGGGGTGTGTCACTGGGGATGGTCTTTGGGGTTTCAAAATGCCATTCTCAATCTCTATCTCTGTCTCTGTCTCTCTCTGTCTCTGTCTCTCTCTCCTTCTCTGCCTCAAGGTTGTGACTAAAAATGTAAGTTCTCAGCTCCTGATCCTGTACCATGCCTTCCTGCTGCCATGTTATCTACCATGATCATCACGGACTTTACTCCTGGGACTTTGAGCCAGCCCCAAATTAAGTGTTTTCTTTTGTAAGTTGCCTTGGTTACTCTGTTTTGTCATGGGAATGGAAAATTACCCAAGACAGACCCTAAATCACAGAGATGTTGGAAATCAGAGACTGATCAATATGTCAATACAGTGATGGAGAGAAGCCCTGCTCACTCAATATATGCTTAGCTTTACCATGGGCAGAGCTTTACCAGCACAAGGTTTGGAATATCATACCTAGATATCATTTGACTCTTTTTCTTTAACTACAGTATCTTAGAGGTGGTGCTTGGAATCCTGAAGGAGAAACAGAAATTCTCCAGAGCACAGAACACATACTCACATTCAATTGAATTCCAGATTCTGCGGATCATACAAGTTTCGCCAGGTCGTGCAGTGCATGTCTGATTCCCATTAACACACTCCCCATTTTTGTAAGATGGACACAGTACACACTGTAAAGTGAGAGCTGCAAAGATAAAGACTGCTTAGAGGAGACGAGTGCCACACTGTCACTTCCCAACGAAAGCGTAGGTCACTGGACCTCTGGATTGCTTGGCTGCACCCATGTTTTGCCTAACATATGTGCTCCAGTCAGCATGTCTTAATACCACAGACAAGGCAGGATGAAATGAGAAGAGATTTAACTTTCTTTCTACAGCCGATAAGGGATCAAGTTGCAGACAATACTTACCGGTTTCAAAGCAGAGAAAGAAGAGACACAGCTTCAGCAGGTTTTCCATTTCTCCTGAGCCGGTTCTTGCAGCAGGCTGTGTTGGTGCCAGACAGCTGGTGATCAGAGACCACTCACAGAAAATACCAGCCTCTAGTGAATTTATAGTCCACTCAGGCAACAGCAATGGACAGTGGGTGCCCAGAAGCAGATCTCAATGTAAACCCCTCCCACACTGGCAATACACCAAATCCCTCTTCCGTGACTTATTTATTTCCTTATTCCTCTCACTTTTCATTGCTTCGGGTGGCAGTAATGATATACATGACCTGTGAGGTAATCTTACCATCAGAGGCACATGGTGGCCCCCTGTGCTTTCCCTTTCTGTGAAATGAGCTCAAACTGCTCTGTTGATGCTGGAGATCAGAACTAGGAAAGGAAAAACCTTTGGAAGAAGGCTTTTATTGAGCCTGAGTTGCAGCTCGACCAGACACCACTGAAGTGTGTCTCCTGGATGCTGGAAACAGCCTGCTTGTCTAGACAGAAGCTGATGTGTAAAGGGTCTGTGCACATCCCTCATCTAAAGGAAGGACCATGTTATTATGAAGTCCTTAGTACCAAACAGAGAGCTTCTGTTGGAGCACCTCAGGAGGTACTTCTTGTCTGGCTGGGGAGCAAATAGCTGCTGGGCTAGAAGGGTTATCTGAGGTCATCTCTGCTTTGTAAGGCCATGCGGGCTGCCTGAGCACATCCTTGATGGTGGCTGTATTGATCCTCTGCAGTGACTGTAGAGAGTCCCACACAACCAGGCTGCCATGAGAGAGAGTCTGGTCAATTGCTGGCCAAAGGGCTACTTGACTGTTACTTTCCCTGCTCAAGGTTGCCATGCACCAGGGAAGGGCCTGTTTAATGGCCTGCTGTGGAATGTTGTGATCACACACAGAAAGCATTGGATGGTGTTAACAATAAAGAGCTGCCAGAATCTTAACATAGAATGTATATTTCTAATAGTATTAAATGTGCCTTATAATATAATGTTATTATATTATATATCAAACATATATACATTTGACCTAAAGTCTTACTATGTAATCCTGGCTGGCTTGGCTCACTATGTAGACCAGAATGGCCTCAAACTCACACTGATCTGGATGCCATTAAAAACATACTCAAAATGTTCAAAAATCACAGTTTCATTTTTCTATTGAGTCCCAAATTGGTCAAATGCTCTTATCTAATTGGTTGCTAAATTATTTTAATTACAGATTAATAGGTTTGCTGTTACATGCAAGTGTGTTCTAGGCTATATTATGAAGTTTCTTCTTTAGAACTGGTATTATGTATTTATCTGAGGGGTCAAGGTCATGTTAGCAGTAAACTATTTATAGTCTACAATTGAGGTATCATAGGCATTCATTGATACTAAGTTGGTCATTATTCCTATATTTTGTCTGTGAAGAGACATAAAAGTTGTTATTTTATTTTCCTATTTTATTTTATTTGAACAGAATCTGCTGTACAAGTGTGCATAGTGTTTGAGTTTTGTTATGAAAGATAGTGTCTTAATCAATTTTTAGTTGTATAAAAGTCTCCTTATGTAACTCAGTACCATGTATATTCAAAACAATTAAAAAGTGCACATGCTAATAATTTTACACTCAAGTATATAACTATGGGATTATTCTCATAGTTCTTTTATTAACTCAGTGGCTTTTTTGGGTGGTACTTCTTTTCTATACACTGAAAATTAGATATTGTATCAAAAGGCGTAGCAAAGTCAGTCTATCAAGTGAGTGTAAGCTAAACACCTGCTGGAGTAGGGGGCTGTTCTTATATCCAATAGAGTCTGACCAATAATTAGTCCAAAGTGATAAAGAAGGCCAATGCATAATATAAATGGAACAACCTTTAAAGGAGCTATAATTGTTGTAAATATATGTGCACCGAGAGTTGGGGGTCCCATTTCCATAAATAATCACAAATGGACATGAAAGTCTCATAGACCCAAGAGCAGTAGGCCCTTCAATACCTCACTCCCATCTTCAGGTACATCCTTCAAACTCAACTTCAGCAAAGCAATGCCAGTGAGATGGCCCAGCGCTGGCTTCCAAGCCTGGTTATCTAGTCAGTCCTGGGAACCCAGTTGGTATCATAAGAATAGAAAAGATTCCCAGCTGTGGTTCTCTGACATCCCCACATACATGCACACATACATAGAAAAAAACCTAAAAATAATTTTAAAAGTTTAAATCAAGAATTTTAAGACTACAATACACCATAGTGTACCTGACAGCTATCTACAAAATATTTCATTTCATAGGAAACAAAAGTACATGTTCTTCTCCACACCCACAGAAACTTCTCTAAATGAAATGTCACCATAAGCAACAAAACAAGGTTTAAGAAGTACCAAAATCAAGATAATATCTTGTAATTTTTCAGGCCTACTGTAATAAAACAAAAAGTCAATGATCAAGAGAAATTATAGATGCTACAAAAATACTTGAAAGTGGTGGGGTGGGGCTTATTGAAGCTTGGTGACAGAGAGAGTCCTGGGGCAACCAGTTGGACAATAGTGTTTCTATCCTGTCTGCTGCCCTCTGCTCCTAACACTATGAGGGCTAGATGTTCAAGGTTAAACTCTGTAAGCACGGGCATGGTTTGTGTTTGTCCTTGGATGACCAGCATCCTGAGAATCAGCTGTGTGCAGGAATGCAGGGTCTTTGTTCCTTCTCACAGATAACACTTGCCACATACAGAAATGTATCCCAGTGAGACCTGTTGTTCTTTCAGACAACAGCCACATGGACATTCCAGTCCCTGCTCCTGCACATCACTCCTTGGCTTTCCCCAAGTTGTGGGAATGTTCAGAAAGAGATTTTTTTTTTAGTGACAGAATAGTAACGTTAGTTTTTAATTTAAAAGTAGAAACATTGAGAATTTCTCATGCACTGACTCTATTCACATCATTTTCATTTTTCCTCCTCCTCCTCCAACTCCTCCGGTGTCCCCCTCCCAATTTCTCTTCAATTTCACAAACTCTTATTTTTAAATTAGTATTGTGATACCTACACATGTATGTATGTATGTGTATATATGTATGCATGCATATATGAATGTATGACTTATGAATGTACATATATATGTATGTGTGTGATGTATGAATGTATTATATATGTATGTTTGTATGTTCATATGTATAGCCTGGTGACTCCATTTAGTTTTGCTTGTATGCATTTGTATTAAACGTTGTCCACTTGGGACTGGATGACCTCTCATGGGGCTCGAATATGCAGGTTCTCCCTTTCTTCTCAGACACAGTTGCCTGGAGTTCTTTGTCTAGTGGTGGAGCCTTGAGAAGTTCTCTCCATTCCCATTGGTATGTCACTGTAGTCATTGTACAGGTCTTGCTGAGGCAACCCTACTCCTGAGATTTCGTGGGTGCATCTTCCCTGTCACATAGAGGGAAGATAACCCGTTGGAGTGGATGTTCTGGTCCTCTACTCCTACCATCTTTGGGTACCCTCTTGTGTGATGATTCCTCTGTTTTAGGAATAGGTGTTGCATTGCAGGTGCATCAGCTGTGGGTGAGAACCCCATGGTCCTTTGCTCTCTGTATTTTGTCCAGCTTCTAGGCAGGCACTCACTAAACAAGAAGAGTGCAAGTGTATGCATCTCACCAAGTTGCTTGCTGCATCACTCCAGCTCGCTCCGCACCCCGGACAAAGGAAGGGACACCAGTAGTTTAGATGGATGCTCAAGGACCCCAGTCATAACACAGGATAGATGCTGTCACCTAGGGGAGGGAGGCCCAGTGGTCTGCGCTTACCCAGGACGCAAGGAACACACACTGTCTTCAGCTAAGTGCTTCCTGCCTTGCCTCAAGCAGGGGCATAGCCTGAGCCAGGACCTGATGCTGGAGCAGCCCCACATGTGTCTGGGACCTTGACCATAAGGGTAGAGGTTGGATGACTTCATCTTTTTTTTGCTCTTTTTTGAGCATTCACTAAAGGATATTTTAGATAAAACACAAATAATAAAAATTCATATTTTTATGCCTCAGTAACCTACTCTTTTGCTCCATTGAGTCTTGGGCAAAAGATTCCCAGCCCCACTTTCTCCTGTTCTCACTGATGTAACTAGGGTGGAGATGCCGCCAGAGTGAATTTTAATAAGATGTATGCTAGTCTAAGTCAAACCAGGTGTCTGAGACGTTTTCTCTGGGCCTCAAAGGACAATTGACATTCAATGTGCACAGTCTGTGCTCCTATAAGATTAAGTATGTATTCAATAAGACATGTTTTTTGCATGAGTGTTTACATGTTTGTATATAAATAGAGAGCATGAGTCACATTAGAACACTGATCAGATTTGGTGGTGTTTTCAATGCCTTTTGATTCTACACACTTTGATTTACTAAAAAAAATTAAGAATCCTTCAGTGAAGTCAATTGTATTCCCCTCTGTTTCTCCTCTGAGTAATAGCTAATGGTAACATAGCAGAGTCATCACAAATAATTACCCAATATGTGTAAAATATACAATTTTAGATAAAGATGTGATTCCTTATGGATTTTCAGACATTATCATTGTTATTTTACTTTTTTCTTCTCTTCCTTCTGTAATTTATATCCTTTCCTCTTCCTAAGGAAAGCTCCTCCTCCCATTCCTCCTTCCTTCTTCAAATCCCTTGTATTCCACTGTTCACATTTCTAGTGCTCCCACTATGGCTCCTTTTTTGTCCTCCTGGATTCCATGTTTACTACAGATCCATACTTCTTAATAAGAGCACTCAGATCTTATAACGGGAACACTGGAGACTTAAGAGTAGTGAAAGGGAGAGAGTTTGTTTTATGGTCTTCCTAAGTTGAGCATCAGTCTAGAATATTGAGATGCTCTGGCCAAGTGCAAAGAACAGTCTATAAACCGAACGAATGGCCCTTTCTCCCTTTTTTGAATAACCAGGAGGGTAAACTCTTACATGAAATTATGTCTCATCTGTTTCTCTATTGCTTATATCTGCCTTTTTCTTAACAGAAACTGATAGCTTGTAAAGAAGTTTATTTCATGCTGAACACATAGAGGGGAAATTGAGAGATACTTGGGGGAGGGTACAGGGTGCACAGTGCAGAAGCCAAAGGAATTGGCAGTTAGAAAATGTCCTTCTTCACTATTTGGCCATGATATCTGTTGCAGAAATCTTCAC